GATCCGCGCCCTGTCATTGAGCTACTGTCGCTTTCTAAAACGTATTTGAATTACAGACAACTTTTTAAAGATTTATTACATTCCTATGCGTAGATTGAAATATTTCTTTTACACTAAAAGTGGAAGTAAAAATTAGAAAATAAAACATGAGTACACAATTATTGTTTTATTTTTTTTTGTATTTAAGGAGTATGTGATTATCCACATATATCTGTTATGGGCTGCTTTTAAGTAAAGGTTTGAAAAGCTGGCTTAGGAAAACATATCTTGGCATTTTTATATTTTCTTAGAAGCGATGCTACCCATTCCTTTATTAAGAGGTACACATTCTCCACGGTATAAAATGAAAAGCTCTTCTGTAGTCTTACGTTGAGCGCAATCCAAATTGCATTCACCGTAGTAAGTTACGAAGTTGCTGGCGCACACGGGTTCTCCGGGTGCGCACATACACAATAAATTATCGTTATGCTCCATCGGAACGCCCTCTATGGTGAGAACTATTAAACCCACTGTAACAAAATAATTATTATAAGCTGCAATAGTTATCATTTGGCTAAATACTGAAACGCTACTCAATTTTAAGGTATCGTTAAGTTTCGTGATGTCACAGTCACTTTGACTTAAAGTAATAGAGACATCACGTGACTTAATGGCATCTTGAAATTGAGTAGCGTTTTAGTATTTGGGCAAAATAAATTAGTCCAAAATTTATACTCCCAGAATACGAGTATAAAATAGTAGCTTATTACTGCTGTGTTTCGTATGGTGAGTGTAGAGATCCGGATACCCTTTTTGACTGGAAACGAGGCATTCCATCTTAGTCCTCATGGGTGACAACGCATTTGCGTTTTGATTCTTAATCGAGGTTAAATTTAGATGTCTACGGGCCACAGCATCCGCTTACCATCAGACGGACTGTGTTCTCGTTTGTCACCCTTATTCTGTAAAAAAAATACAAGGGAAGTGCAATGCAGCGGGCGTAGTACCTACGAAAGTAATTAAAATTCGGTCATCCCTGGGAAGTAGTAATTAAGATTTTGTCACAAATATTTAGAAAATATCGTGAGATTTTAAGGAAATTTTCCGCAGATATGGGTTTTTTTAAAGTATATACAGTAAAGGGGTTGTAGATAGAATCCGTTAGCAAAGATGTTCGCAGCGGTAACCAAAGGTTTATTAAAAATAGAATTTGGATCTCAAGCTAGCACGGCCCACTTGATGGTAAGTGACCATAGGCATCTTCTTTCCCCGATTAATCAATATGTAGATGTGTTGCCACCCCTGAGTGCTAAGATGGAATGCCTTTTATCCAGCAAAAAGTGTCTCCAGTTCTCACCATACGAAACGCAACAGTAACTAGCTGCTATTTTACGCTGGTATTTCCTTCTTTCCCCGGTCGAGCCCACCATTTAATGCCACAACCATAATATAGCTGCAACATGACTACTATATATATATATATATATATATATATATATATATATATATCTATATATATATCCAAAGTATCCTAAATATTTCAAAGGAAAGGTTTATTATTAATTGGCTTTTAAAGTTTTTTTTTGTCAGATTGTTGCACTATATTTTCACAGATTACATAGATTTTTTTTTTAGTTTTAGCCAATTTTATCTGTTGTATTACCCCGACCGGCCGTACATTCGTAATTTTTTCGATTGCATTCCTTTCTTAACCCTGATCACAATAAAAATATAAAAAAATAGAATATATCCATCCGCATAATTTAATTCCATACAGCGATAGAACTAAACATTGTTGCCTAATAGTCTAAGACCCGGCTGCAAGATTACTACATTCATGTAGTTTTTAATCAAAATCTAATTTTAATATATAATTTATTTAAAAAAACAAGAGAATGAATTTTTCGAAAACATCAATTAATATTATTTTAATTAAAAATGCTTGCGGCCACATTGTGATAGGCACCTTAACAAAAATTATTCTATTACGGCATGGTTAGGCCTGTTTAACAGAATTACTTTAACAAGTTTTTTTGTCAGACAGTTGCACTATATTTTCACAGATTACATAGAAAATTTTCTAGTTTTAGCCAATTTTATCTGTTGTATTACCCCGACCGGCTTGTTTTTTGTCAAATAAATTCATATTTTTCCGTACGTTCGATTTCATTCCTTTCTTAACCCTGATAAGGTACATAATACATAAATAAAAAAAAATCTTACAGCCGGATCCCGTACTATAAGATACATACATAGACAACTATTTGATATCCATCACGCAGTCGTCATTCGAAATAAAATTATTGAATTGAATTTTTAAATAAATTGATACTTACATAGTAAAATACAGATGTTCATCTTCAGTTTACAGTATAGGTCAACCAAAAGCCGTTCCAACAAAAGCGAAATGCGCTGATGTGTGATTTTAACGGGTCTTTTATGATTCTTGTAATAATGTTTATCGTACGTATTAACAATTTATTGATTAAATCCATGACGAATGAAATTTATCCACTTCACATTTAATTTTCAACACTCGTTTCTGACTTGATTTCTATTATTATTTTATATCATATTAACGTTCTTACATATTGACTTGCTAGCGCAGTGGCTAAGAGTTTGATTGCGGGGCCGCGTGTTTGAATCCCACGAAACGATTATTTGTGTGGCCTGCAAATAATTGCTACAAATATTACTCAGTACTCACCTAGTTACGGGTCCTTTTCAAAACCTAACCATAGCTAACTTTTGCAGCTGGCTGCGAGGTAGTTGCGGCCGAGTGTGCAACGGCACCTATGGATTTTAGAATTCTTTACATGCATTGTTATGATGTGGATGATATTTTATTTAAAAAAGAAGTGAACGAGATTTTTTTTGGAATATTAATTAACATTAATTTAATTAACCTCTCAGTCCCCAAGCGGTCGAATCCGACCGCGGCGTTATTCCGTCAAAATCCAAGCGGTCAGCTTCGACCGCACACACCCACAGCACTTTACCATTAAAACTTATATTTAGAGACTTCTTTTCTATGAAGAAGTTCGGCATTATAGAATCAATATAAAAATTTCTATCCTCTAGTGCAATAAAAAGTCAAGTTATCCTATGGATATTTATTTATAATCTACATTAATTTCCTACGCCATTTTCGCGTCAATGTGATTGTGTTGTTTTTTTGGATTTTCTAGTGTTTTAGTATAGTGTTTTATTATAAATTTGTAACAAAAGTTTTTGTGTGAATATAATTTATCTTTTTACGTAAATAATTTCGAGTATTATATATTGAAATAATTGTGATTTTCACGCTGCCGACAATCGCTTGGTACGTTTTGTTTTTGTAATCAAAATACAATAGTCTTTTTGTAATGAAGTAAAACCTGACTTTTATATAGAGAATTTTGTATAGATTTTATAATGCGTTTGGCATCTTCATAGAAAAATAGTCTCTAAATATGAGTTTAATGGTTTTAAGTGCTGCGGGTGGGTGTGGTCGCATGCGACCGCTCGGGATTTGCCGGGCGCATGCGACTGCATTGTCTTTTTATTGGGATTGAGGGGTTAAAATTACTTGCGGCCACTTTTGATGGGGCTGCGGTGTTATCGGTGTATTCTCTTATTCATAAACGTATGTAAAAATATGTGACTCACGACGTAATGAACGTAGTGATTTTGCAGCGGGATCTCGTACTATGATTTATTTATCCCTGTAGCCTCTTACTTAGTTGTGGATTACACCACCACTACACAGACAAAGCATGAGAATGTAAAAATACCAAAATTATTTCCGTGTTAAAATGGTAGGTCAACAATGGTGTTGTTAAATGAATTGAATGAATCAAAGCTTCAAGTACTTTGAAGCTTTGATTTGTCTTTTATTATTTCTGATTAGCGAGTATTATTAGGATTTGTAAAAATTCGTCATACATCAATAAGTGCATTCTTAAATTTAGCATTTTGTTGAAGATTTTAATCAAATTCGTCGACGCACGTGTTTAAGTCGATGGGTACAGACTTCAGTAATGCCTGCGATACGGTGAATATTTACATTTTTATGCAACGTTATGGTATGTCTTAAAGTCTTGCTAGGTTGATTTCGTACACATTAATCCATTGATCATATATATCACTATCATAGTGTAGTAATTAACGGCTTTAATTCAAAACCTTACGTTGCAATGTCTTGAATTCTACAAGGATCCCATTTGGGTCCACATTTATTTATACTCCTGCTGTGTTAAGGGGAGAGGCAATTCTTGCAAATTAAAATTTTATTTTTCGTTAATTCTCATTGCACTGTTGGTAAACCAATAATATTTTAATGGATTTATTTGAAAAGTCCTAACCTAATATGCGAAGGTATCGGTTAGTAATGTCTGTCAAAAAGTGCATTACAGATAAGATTTATACTATCTCCGGCATATAAGTTAAGACATCTGTGCAGGGAAAATACTTCTTTTTGGTACTTCATGACCGAAAAAAAAATGTTCAGAATAAAAATGCAAACCACTGTTAGCCTGTACTTTCAAAAAAATTTATAACGTTACTTATATATCGTTACTAGTGATGAAACCATAGCTTTAATTTTTTGACGTAAATTATATTTTTGCACAAATGTTTGTCGTTGTGTTTGAGTTTGACGCTCAGGATATGTATTTCAGATTTCAGTAACACTCGACCATTAAACCATAGGTACTAGTTGACATTATTGTTATTAATCAATTTTAGAATAACAAACGAGTGCGTTCTAAAATATCGTAGCATGAGCACTTAACCCTTTCACAGCGAATCACGAGTACCGCTCGGCATTCGTATCAAGCGGCGCCTTAAAATGCTCCGCTGTGAAAGGGTTAATTCGCAGAGAAGTTCCCTATTCTAGGTATTGGCTTGTAAGTCGTTAATATTTTTAGAGTTCTGATTCTTATTTTGTATGTGACGATGATAAACGAACATACGAAAAGGTCTATAAAGCCGCAATCGACGAAAAAAGTCAAAAATTTTATGCATGTTTTATTTTGTTACAGGAAGGTGAGGATTTCACTCTTGTGCCTAACAGTGAAATAGTTGTATCTCGAACAGCGTTCAAAGACAACTCGTCGCATTACACCCTAAATGGACGGAGGGTCCAGTTTAAAGAAGTCGCTAAGATGTTGCGCTCTCACGGAATCGATTTAGATCATAACCGATTTCTTATTTTACAGGTGAATATGATATTAAATAGTTGGCGAAATTGCTCAGAAGATGGACGACTATAAGGTCGTTTGAGCTTGCCATTTGTGATGATAACTAGAATCTGATTGTCTACTGCTAAACATGGGTCTCTCACATTGATGGGAGGACTTGCTTTGGTCGTCCCGCTTGGCAGACGGATTGCCGATAACATTACCAGACGTCACGAACCTTTGACGCTCTGAGTGTCGTACGCCGTAAACCGGATACCGCCATCTTTTTTTTTTAGGAAATAGGGTGACAAGAGAGCACACAGTCCACCTGGTGGTAAGTGGTTTCTGTGCCCCATAGACATCTACATCTATCCTCGTTTTGGTTACCATGCGAATCAAAATGAAGATGCGTTGTCAGCCTTGAGGACTAAGATGGAATGCCTCTTTTCCAGTAAAAAGGGTCTCCGGTTCTCTACCACTCACCATACGAAACACAGCAGCATTAAGCTACTATTTTACGCTGGTATTCTATGGTCCTTCCGCGGTCGAGCCGACCCATTCGTGCTACAACTATACAATTAATATAACTGCATCATAGCTCTACCACGTAAAAAAATCCCAAAAAGTCCCAAAAAAATCTATCGGAAGCCATAAGATTTTTCTGACATTTTCCCGTTCATAGTGGCGCAGTGGCTTAGCAATGAGTTAAAGCGCTAAGGGCCGCGGGTTCGAATCCCGCACGGAACAAGTATTTGTATGGCCTACAAGTAATTGTTTCGGGTCTGGATGTTTGTCCTTGTGAAATTTATGTTTGTAAACTGCCACCACGATACAGGAGAAATACCTAGTGTGGAGGTAACGTTTTAAAAAAAGTCTACTGACGAAATGAAGTGGTGGATTCTATTACGCCACCACCATACGATATGTGAAATATTCGTCATCATTATACGTGGTAGAACCACGCTGCCGATATATTATGGTTTTGACACGAATGGGTCGGCTCGACCGGGGAAGGACCACGCTCTCACAGAATACCAGCGAAAAACAATAGCTTCATACTGCTGTCTTTCGTATGGTGAGTGTAGAGATACGGAGACCCTTTTTACTGGAAACGAGGCATTCCATCTTAGTCCTCACGGGTGACAACGCATCAGCGTTTTGATTCGTATCTGAGGATATAATATGTAGATCTCTATGGGCCACAGCAACCGCTTATCATCAGGTGGACTGTGTGCTCATTTGCCGCCTTATTTTATTTTTTTTAAACTGCAATTTTCGACTAAAAAGTATGTTTAGCACAAATAAGGGTTTTATAAAAAGTTTTTTGTTAGTTTTTTCCGGGACAGAAGTTTCTTCTGAACCAGTAAAAGTAAAAAATGACTCACTAAGAATTACTTGTAATCTATATTGAGTAAAAATTATTCTATTCCATCTTAGTGCTAGGATAATGAGAGAGCGTAATCCTATCGAAGCAGGGCAGACACTTTCTTGTTCCATCATACAGCTTCTGCAGTATGAAAGTAAAGTTACAGCCTATATACGTCCCACTGCTCGGCACAGGCCACCGCTCATTTCTGAGAGGGTTTTAGGGCAAGGAATTGTCTGCCGTGTTACCCCAATGCGTGTTGGCGAACTTCACATGTTTTTGAAATATTTATTTTTCTTATTTCTCTGACATGCAGGTTTCCTCGCCGATGTTTTCTTTCACCGCCGAGCACGTGGTAAAATTGCAATTAACAATTTCATTGGTGCCGGCGGGGATCGAACCCGGTTTGCTCGCGTACTGTGAAATTTACAACGAGCGCTAACCATCTGAGCTACCACGGCTCTGCAGTATGAGCTTAAGTTAAATTCTAACAAAATATCTGATAAGTGGCTCCTGCAGCTCATGGACATTTGCAACCAACTTCAAACAAACGAGGCTACATATACTGAGGAAAAAGAAAGAAAGATTAATATCTTACAGTCTGTAATACGTTTATACGTGGTAGAGCCATGCTGCAGTTATATTAGTACCGTATAGTTGTAGTACGAATGGGTCTGCGCGACCGGTTGAGGACCACGTTCTCACCGGAGACTCTTTTTACTGGAAACAGGGCATTCCATCTTAGTCCTCATGGGTGACAACGCATCTGCATTTTCATTTGTAATCGATAGATGTAGGTGTCTATGGGCCACAGCAACCACTTACCATCAGGTGTACTGTGTGCTCGTTTGTCACCCTATCCTATAAAAAATATACTGTCTCTTTTTACTTTTCGGACAAAAACGCTGTGTGCTAGTGCTTGCCACTGTTGCTTGGCCTCAGAAATTGGTAACAAGGTACCTAATCAGGCGGACTCGTAAGCAAAAAAGGTGCCCTACCAACTAGTAACCTTGTTTAGTGAAAAGGAGGAGGAGGTTCAACAGTTATATATTTATGTGCAACCACTCTTTATTTCAGGGTGAAGTGGAACAGATAGCTATGATGAAACCTAAGGCGCAGTCCGAACACGAGTCGGGAATGTTAGAGTATTTAGAGGACATCATTGGTACATCCAGGTATAAGGTGCGGTTTCAAAGGAATTTCTTTAACAAGATTTTATTTAATTTCATCTCAGATTGTTGCAACCATATTTTCAGAAATCTTTATGTGTTTACTCAGAAAAGATTATCCAGTTTTTGACATTCTAAGTTTAAGAACTTTTCGTATTATCCCCTCGACCCGTTCTACAGTATACTATACAGTCTGTTTTTAAAATGAACGTTTCAACCATTCAAAATCTTATATTTAAATCATTTCCAACAATTAAACAAGTACTTCTTAGCTTTTTCACTACTTGTTACCATTTGTTTATCTGCTTTGTACTTATTCATTCCTCTCCATAATACGCTAATTTATTCATTCGTCCAGGTCACAAATAAAATTATCAATTTTATAATAAAACTATTACTGTTTCTGTTAATACTTTTGCTGTATAAGCTGTTCCTCGCGACGTCGCCCGCGTGTAATAATTTAGGACGATTGAAATAATTACTACTACTAACTACTAATTATTTTTCTAAAATGAAAGAAGCCTAAGTTACTCTTTATAACTTCAGCTATCTGCCAGTGAAAGTCCCGTCAATATACTCATGATGAACGGAATTGTGTTGAACGGTTCGCGTAATGCAGTTTTATACTTGTGATAACTTCGAAATTAAATGTCTAATTCGAATGAATTCAAAAGTATTTTAGTGCTAAATTTATACCCTTTATGATAAAACTATTTATTTGTATAAGAATTAATACTATGATACGAATGTACCAACTTTATTTCTACTGGCGATCTAATTAAATTTTAGAACATAAAAGCTACTATTGTGACTTAACTATGATAGTTAGATATATTCGCACTTTTTTGTAGGTAATAATGAGTACTTTAATCATGTAGTACATAACTTTTGTGTCATCAAAAGTTTTCTTAGCACACGTCATAATGAATTTTATAGGCAAAATTTTGCTGCTTTGGGTTACATTATTGCAATGTTCTTAAGGATCTCTATTATTATATTTTTATTTGGGATATAGGATCTTTATTTACTTCCTGATAATTTAGCTTTCTATTGGTGAAAAAATGGTTAAAATTGGTCCAGTAGTTTCGGTGCTTATTCGGTACAAACAAACAAACAAAAAAATCTTTCCTCTTTATAATATTATAAGTATAGACTAAGATGCTCTGCCTTCACGTAAGTGGCTTTCGACTCCAACCAATTATCCGATTTACATGATTTTCGTACACGCACCTGATTCTAATGACTACTTCTTAAACATCATAGGAACCAATAGAAAAACTGTCAATAAAGGTCGAGGAATACAGCGAGATGCGTAAGGAGAAATTAAACAGGGTGCGTTTAGTGGAACAAGAGAAGTTGAAACTGGAGCAGCCAATGAGGGAGGCTGTGGAACAGATGAACCTGACCAACACTGCTTTACGGACCAGGAATATGCTGCTACAGAAATATATGTAAGTATCCATCTAATAGAGAAGTAGTAAAAGTTTATGTGGTAGAGCCATGCTGCAACTATATTATGGTTGAAGCACGGATGGGTGGGCTTGACCGTAGAACCACGCTCTCACAGAATGTATCAGCGTAAAATTGCAGCTTAATGCTGCTGTGTTTCGTATGATGAGTGTAAAAAACCGGAAACCCTTTTACTGGAAACGAGGCATTCAATCTAAGTCCTCAGGGGTGACAACGCATCTGCATTATGATTCTTAATTGAGGATAAATGTAGATGTCTGGACCACAGCATCCACTTCGTGGACTGTGTTCTCGTTTGTAACCCTTATTCTATAAAAAAATAGTAAAGCATCTTGACTGCACAAAGTCAGTAATTTGCTCGTGGTGCAATGTACCTATACGCTTTTACTACAAGTCACAGATGATATACAAGGTCACAATCAAGTTTAATTTTTTTACTAAGCAAAGACGATAAAAATATTTTTTTATAATGTAAACGTAAACAAGGATGATAATAACCATGTATTGTTCAAATACTTCTACATTATATGTTGGTAAATTTTTTTACCGTTTGGAAATGAAAGAATGATTTTTTATTTAATATTTATATTATAATATTTATATTGTACATAATACTTATTGAGAGTCATTTTTAATTTACCAAAAATTTATTATTTAAAAAAAATAGGGTGTAACAGGTGAACGGAATAGAATCCTATGGCACTAATCTTTACACTACAAATTTTTTTTTTACATCTAATTTAAAATAAATTTTCAGTAATAAAAAACAAAAACAAATATTTTGTATTAAATAAATAAATCAATTAAAAGCTATCGAAATTACAGTAATACGCACCCAATTAGTAGTATATGTTGATAGATCAATTTCATAATATGTTAATGTAAAATATCTGTGCCCATAGGCTTCTATTCCGGTCATCTATTACACCTTATTTTTATCCAGAAGGTTAAAAATCACCCAGTATATTCTATGTATTAATACTAGACAAGTTTTACGGTACTAATACATTGCTTACTAAGTTACGGTTAATTCTCCGTAATTTCTTTAGTCTATTGCGAACAGGCGAGAATACATGTTGGCCGAGGGAAGGCGAGCACTAACGTATAAACAGTCCATTTGTCCAGCCTCGCCAATGCTAGTCGACGCTTGCTTAGCTGGCCAAGTGCAGGCGAGCGCCAACGTTTATACTAAAGTTGTTCAAAACGACATAAACTATAAATTTCTAGCGCGCTATTTGTAAGAAAGCGTGTAGGAGTCCGGCAAGTGCGTTAAGTTTTACAGTACGCTATATCGTAGCACGTTACATTACATGTCGTTCATTGGATAGACCGCGTGCTATATAAGAACATTATTTCGTAATAAGTCGCATTTTAGACTAAAATAAAGAAAATCCAATGAACGCTTTTTCATACTTTTCAGCCTTACGACTTTCTATAATCTTAAAAAATATTTTTAAGGCATGTACTTTTTAAAACGAAATAAAATTAGTTATTTTTTATTATGATTGATGTAAACATTATTTTAACCTTAATATAAATTATAAATCAAATAATGGTGTATTTAAAGGTTTATTGATTGTATTTATAAAAATCAACTATTACACTATTATATAATACACTTTTGTATCTATATTTTATTTACATTTAAAAATATTAGTTAGGCTTCTTTTATAACAGACAACTGTGTCCTTCGATCACTTATAAATATATAGTATACCCTAATTAAACAACGTCTAGCTACTAGATCGAATTTGCGTCACACGTCCTCTCCCAACAGCGTTAGAACGTGCTGCTAGAACTATAATAGTATCGCTAGATATTAATACTTAATAGCGTCAAAGCGCAATAGCGCCATGGCGAGTACTTACATAGCACGCGCTATATGTTATGGAGAGATAGCGCGCTATAATATGGCGCTATGCATATACAGTTCGTTTGGCGTGCCTTGCCGCCACTCGAAATCGCTCGCTACGACTCGTCCATTTCGGAATAGTGTCGGTTTTTCTGGACAAAATCAAAGGCGCTCGCCTGCACTCGGCAAGTCGCGTCCAGACGTCAGTTACAGCTTAGCGTCCGTCCCGGTGAGATAATGTTTTAATTATAATACTCAGCATCCACCACCTTCTTTTTAATAACTTAACTGCGGAGTACACTGACATAATATTTAAATTCACTCATTAAATAAATAGCAGGAGCTGCAATAACTTCAACGTCGTCTATATCGTTCCAATTCTCTTCCACATGTTGGTCGTAATGACAACTAATTACGGCCTCATGTGGTAGCTCCACAAAAACTCGTGAACATTGGCCTTGGCATTGGTCTCTTTCGAACTTGACCAACGTGTAGACCATATCACTCGTCTTGTATCAGTTTGCCTACGCTCGCGTTGGCTGAGGCTTGGCTAACATGAATTACCGGGTTAACATTGATTTTGTTTAATGTCACTAAGAAAAACACGGTTATTATTTAAGTTTATTTCATATAAGTCTGTAACCTCATTCGGTATTTGTCTAAAAACAGTACCTAACTCTCATAAATGAAAAACCCATTTTTTTATTCTTAGAAAAAGGGCTTTGTCGCTGAAGCGATTATGACGCCCTGATAGTTCAACAAAATTCTTAAATAGGATAAATACTAACAACGAAACTTATTAATTACTTAATCTCTTATTTACTAATACATAAAACTTTTTGGCATCTTCTGATAACGGGTCTGATAAAATACTATTAATACTGCCTGTAATGTCGGGAGGTTCGGGGAATAAATAATACGTCTACTTTTCTAGAATGTAGGTTTATTACTAACTCTCTCTTATTCTATCCTACATATATATGACCTTACACTACACGCCAACCGGCAAAAAGAAAAAAAATAGAATTACAAAAATATTTTTTTTCATTGAATTAAAACTTGGTGTAAAAAAATAAAAAAAATTGTACATTATTTTAAAATATTAAAATTCTTATACCCACTATATCATATATAGTAGAAATAATAAAATAAAAATAAAATATCGTAAACACCGTAATTTAAAAAAAATTTACTTTCTATCTCTGTATTTAAATTTATTAAACAATCATCAAATTACTTACGTAATTGTATTGAATCTTTAGTTTTGTCGTAAAATAATTTTAGTTCGCCTATCATTACTGCATAATTTAAAATTTTCATATATAACTATTAATTCACTAGACTGAAAATACAGTTTTTAAAACAAAATAGTTATCAAAAATATTATAAGGTGTTTACAATTTTTTTTTATATTCTTACACTTTTAAACTATATAATTCATTTTAAATCTTAACAAATCTAAAAGAAGCTAATGCCATTGAAATAGTATCCTTACTTTTAAGTGGATAAACTTCAGCATACTCATTTAAATCACACTGTAGTGTGAGTATATAAACATTACTAGCACTATGCTTACATAAGGGCCCTACTAAATCTAAATAAACTCTATGAAAAGTGGAATATCCCATAAATCGGTTATAACCATTGGTTCCTTTATATATTTATTTAAGTATACAAACACTTCTCATCGATTTACATAATTAGTAGGATGTTACTAATTATGTATATTATATAGTCTCTAACTCTGGTCAAAAGAACCTTTTCTTTGTATTGTTTATCATTCGCCTATACGCGCGTGACCGTTAGTTGGCAAAAAATGATAGCCGTTTAATATTACATGTTTTGTCACACGGCGGTCCTAGTGCAACATAATCAGAATTATTAACATAACAACAGGGATCAAATACAACTTACAATCTCGGCCGCGTAAGCGGTTTGTGGACACCTTTGTTTTAATTTCTAAGTATGTTCATGGGAATGTTTTTTCGATTACGTTGTATAATGGTACCTAGTTTTAACCATGCATTAAAATGATATTATAAATAAAATGAATTTAACTTTCCCAATAGTTTGTACCTCTAAATACATATAGATTGTTACATTCAATTTTAAATTCATTTTGTAAAAGTATTATGCTTTTACATAGGTACATTAACAAAAAATCATTTTTAAAAAACTCATTTTTTCATGACATGAAATTTATATAAAAAAAGGAAACACTACTAGGTACACAGCTCAAGTTTGTTTTACGAAATATTTATTAACATTGAAAAAGGCAATTTCATTTCAAAAATAATTTTTGGTTCCGTTGTCTTTTCTAAAGAAAAAACGTAAAAAGAATACTATTACATTAATAAACTTATACTCTGGATTTTATTTTATAAGCAAAATATAAACCAAATATAGTTTAAAATGTACGAGTTTTACATAAAAAAACATATGACAAAAAATCTACCAACCAGATTTATTGTAAATATGAATTAATGTGTCTAAATATGAAAAAAATCTCGTAAATTCATATACAAATGTGGTAAAACAATTACGCGCACAATACATACATACATACAACACATTTTCGCGTAGTTGTGTAAATCGATCCCTATAGTTATTACATGTGTATTATTTCTTATTCGCATTTATGGGTAGCATTAATAGTCCTAATACAGAAATGGAAACTACACACTTTTTTGATTTGCTCTTTTACTTTCTTTTCTTTCTTCTTAATATTTTTGACCTTAAGCTAGCTCTCTTTCTCTCTATTCACTTATATATTTATTTATTTATTAGATACCGGGAATCGGAGTATTAATTCATTTCATTTATATTTTTATTCGTGATATTTATCACGCGGGTACTTTATAAATATGGGCCCCCCATTTATTTGGGTATTATATTACATTTTCGTAACATTCATTTCATTTTATTGGTACATAAACTTTTTTTTCTATATCAAGGTAAAATGTACCTTTTGTTGTGCGCACAACCTTGAGGTCTACGTTTAAGTCATTAAAAGGACTTCAACAATTGTCACGGAGGAAAACTAAGTTCACACTGTGATCCAATGAAGGATATGACCTCCATGTACCATTATTAAGGGTAACAAATTTAAGACTTCTATGGTCCCTAACAGTACTAATATGTGTAAACTCGTGTACATCACTTGTACTGAAGGTACTGTTCCCTAGTACCCGTTACGCCCGATTTTATCATCCAATCACGAAAACATACCCTGCTCAAGGACTATATGTTATACCAGTGATGGACGTTCCCGTATCTCTCCATTACCTATTTATTAAGGTCAATTATTTTCTTTTATATTTATTCCTTTTATGCTTTCATAATTCTCACTCTTAACGGATTCAATACTACTAGTTTAAGCATCATCAAATATTTGGGTGATCAGTCCAATATTGACGAACACACTCAATCATTCGTATTCCCAACAACATTTTGAACATTTCTTTCTTTCATACTCGCATTGATATAAAATAAATTCTCGCATCTCGGAGGTATACTCAAACAATTATTATTTCCCAAAATACCCATATGTAATGGTAAAGTTACTAATTCATTCATATTATGCAGTGTAATATTATTCAATTCAAAATTTATGCTACAATTAAACTTACGTAAAAAAATCTATACCTAAAATTCCAGAAGTTTCACACGGCAACTGCTTTATTACATGAAACATTATTAAATTTCAGCCCGTCAACAGACAACGTTAAATCAATAAATCCCACGGTTCTTTGCCTCCAATTCCGTTTATTGTAACCGGTTTCTTTTGTAATGAAATGTTTAGTTTACTAAGCGTGTCATATTTCAACACAATTACTATATTCGCAACTAAATATACTATTGGTCTCGAAAAAATTCTAGATTATTTTCATTATTATCGTTATTAGGGTTAATTTCAATATTTTGAGAACTTTGCGATACGCGATATTCTGGTGTTATAAAATGATCGTCAAATCTACGAATAATTGTTCGATTTTATTGCTATAATTATCTAGGGAACTATTATTTTGTCTTATTTGCATTAGTTCGTTATGAATGGAATAGTGAATTAATAAATTTGACATAAAAACAGAAAAAAAAATAATGATAATTGGATGTAACATTTATAACTTATAATACATAATGATTGACAAATTAATGATTATACCAAGTATATGACATTGAGCTATAATAATAATAAAACGTTGTTATTTCCACTGACGCTGTTACATAATTAATTAGAAAGTTACCATATCATTTAAAAAAAAATATTGAATAATTATATGTATGTTGTTAAAATTTCGATAAATATTGTTATGGTTACTTGTCCATTAAAATTTACACATTACTATGGTAGAATATGTAGAACTAAATTATACTTAAACACCATTGCACAACCATATTGTCGCAAAACAAATATTATTATTATCATTATTAAGTAGTTATTTACCGATTAATTATTGCGGTATAATACATAATTTCAAATTTTTCTATTAGTAGTACTAATTCTAAAAAAATTCCTATTTTATATGAATGATTTAAAAATTCTGTTTATAAGATTATATTCAGTTCTGTGTATAACATTATATAAGTAATAATATAATTTGACAATAAACTTCGACACTATTATATAATTAAACTTACATTCCGTGCTTTCGAGATGTCTTACCTACTACAGAACTTGGCTAGTCGCTCGTTGTACCCCTGACTTCTTTCTGCTGCTCTGGTACTCGAAGATGTTCTTAGCTCCCCGATGTGGTTGGGCCTGGACTTCCTCGTACTCTTTTTTTTTCTTTCATATTTATTTTTGATAAAGTTGGTACTCTTCTCTTGAGGGAAATTTGATTAAGGTGTTTTCTGTGTATTGGAATCTTCTTTCTTGGAAATTTTCTCTCTTGTCTTCTTGATTTAATAACAATGTTACTGGAGCTTCTTGTATAATTTATTTTTCAGGTCTTTTCTTCATTTCTTCTATAACATTTTTTCTTTAAGTATATTATAGGCTTCGATTTCTCAAAAAAAAATTGTCGTCTCTTCTTATATTCGTAAATAAAAATTTAAGTGTCACATACGGTATAACGTTATTTTTGTTATTATATATTTATTTGATAAATTACTTCAATTTCTTATGCAGGTCCCGGCGGTGCGCTTGCATTGTAGCAGCGCATCGCCTGGCAGGGTCGCCATGTAATGTCGGGAGGTTCGGGGAATAAATAATACGTCTCCTGGTCTTGAATGTAGGTTTATTACTAACTCTCTCTTATTCTATCCTACATATATATGACTACACACTACACTGCCAATTAACAGTTTTGTGAGGTAGTTTTTCGCATCAAGTTAAAAAACCCATTGCGTAGCACGTATCAGACATAACAAATTTGAATGTTAAATTTTTTTTGTTATAAAGCTTTTGCTGTGTCGACTTATCAACGAAATGTGTATTACAGCAGTTTAAAAAAAAAAACTGGTGTTAAAATTAATAACTTTGTACAATTGACTTCAATATAAATAAAATGCGAATATCCTCAATGTAGTCAATGTCAAAAACGCATTATTACGGATAACTCAAAAACTACCGGTCAGATATTAATCAAATTTATATGTGATCACAAGAGAAGCATCAGCTTTAAAATAAAAAAAAATAATTATCAAAATCGGTTCACCTAGAAATTAAGTTCCGAAGTATTACATACATATATATATATATATATATATATATACATACATATATATATAATATACATATAAAAAACATACACTCGAATAGAGTACCACCTCATTTTTTGAAGTAGGTTAAAAAGAGTGATAAGCGAAGTTAAAGCCTAAATATGACTTACGGACACAGACTACCTCCCATTTATTCGAGGTCTGTGGAGCAAGATAATTAGTTCGCTACAAAATTTTCATTTACGCCGGCCAAGATCGAGCTCTGTTTGCTTGCGTACTATATCATATACGACAAGCACAGCCCCTGAGCTACCAGGGCTCTAACAAATATACAATAGTTATCTTCTGAGATCTTAAACCAAATGTAAATTTCATATTGTAATTGATTTCAGTCATGAAACTAATAAAATAATTGAAGCAAAAACCAAAGAAATGGAGGAGCTCAAAGAAAATCTTGCAAAAATTGATTCAAAGTTAGAAGAGTTACAGAAGGAGTTGAAAGAGAAAAGCGATGTGTTAAAAACTGGGATGCAGTAAGTAGATATTTGTAAAATATATATTTAATTTAGTTTATTATAATGTTTAATAGAATACTTAACCAGGGACGAAGCGGAAATTTGCTACGCATCTCCAAAATGCATCATGTACCTCCATCGAATGAGCCTCTGGGCTCCAGTCCAAATCGCTTTCAAAGAGTTTATTGATTCTCGCCGCCATGGTTTTTATAGTAAAGGGATCAATCAGTTACAGAACTAAATGTGCCTCTGGCGACTTGAATTAGTTTAGGTTTACTTATCTTCAATACTGTTTACCGTCACCATTATAACCTATCAAAACCCCACTGCTCAACCTAGACATTATAGATTGGGGGCTTATAGGTGGAATATTTGCCATCCTTTGCAGTCAGGTTGGCAGACGCAGTTTTTAATTTTTTAAGTTGTTTATTAGGAAGACGCTGCTTTTTTTGAACAAACATTTTTTATTCAATCGGAATAGTTCAACAGATATTTAATTTAAAAGTTATTGTCAACAGAAAATATGATAAAATGCAGAAGAGAAAAGATGAAATCGCGGAGAAACTGCAAATGTGCAAGAAGAAAACCGTTTCAGTACAAGCAGACACGACGCAGGCGAACAAGAAAAAGAAAAATCTGGATCAACTGCTAGAACAGGAGAGAGGAAAACTCATTGATTTAGAACTCGTAAGAAATATATAAAAATAAATCTATTAGTCAATAGTATATACCGAATTTAAACTAAAAAAAGGATAACTTTGACATAAAAGCTTCTGAAGTCGGTGCTAAGATAGTGTATCGATGTACAGTCCCGATTGTAAAAGCAATTATGTTAAAATTATAATTTTTTTTAGTTATTTCGGATGATATTTTGTATACGTGGTAGAGCCATGCTGCAATTATATTAGTAGTATAGTTGTAGCATGAATGGGTCGGCTCAGCCGGGGAAGGACCATGCTTTCACAGAACACCAGCTGGAATAGTAGCTTAACGCTGCTGTGTTTCGTATGGTGAGTGTAGAGAACCAGAGATCCTTTTTACTGGAAACGAGGCATTCCATCTTAGTCCTCACGGGTGACAACGCATCTGTATTTTCATTTGTAATCGAGGATAGATGTAGATTTCTTTGGGCCGCAGCGCCCACTTACCATCAGCTGAACTGTGTGCTCGTTTGTCACCCTATCCTATAACCAGTCCATAAAGCAGAATGTGGTTTAAACTGTTACATTGAAAACTTAGCTCTATTTTTTCCCATCCGGAAATTTGGTGGATTTTTCTCCAAATTTAAATGGAAACACTTTTGAGGTGTCACTTATTTAATTAAAAATAATAATTAAAATCGGTTTACTATTTCTAAGATATCACATTACAAACATTGAAAAATAAAACATACAGTCGAATTGGGAAACTCTTTATGAAGTTTGCTAATAAAAAATATAGAAATTAATTTACAAAAACCACCAAAAATAAAAAGCGTGTGTATTGCTAAGTATCACGAGTCTTCCTTCTCTCATACAATCGTGTGCTCTCCTCAACCTAGGTAAAGTAACAGCCTTATATCTAAGCGGGTTTTGAGACAGGGAAGTGTTGGCCATTCTGTCCCAACTGCCTGTGTTTTGGCAGACTTCCTACGTCCTTGAAATATTTTTATTTCCTCAGACTTGCAGGTTTTCTTTAATATTTTTTCCTTCACCTTCAATTACGTTGTAATTTTCATTTAATATCTTTTGCATAACGGCCTATATCAATTAATGGATTGTTCAGACACTTTAAGTTTTGATTTTAGATTCCAGAAAAGAACAAGAGGGAAATAGAAGATTGCGAGGCATTGCTCGTCAAACACAAAGAGAACAAAAAGCTCGCCGAGGAAGAATTGCAAACTGTAATGGCTGGAGTGAGGTATATAATTAATTTTGGGCACAAGCATACAGCCCATATAATATTTTAGTAATGTGAGAAAAAAGGATGGTGAATCATATTTTATGCAAGGACTATTAATATTTAATCATTTAAAAGTAATACTTTGCTTAGCTACATAGCACATATTTCATTTAAATTCATATTGATTGTAAAAACAATTTAACGTCATTTTCGCTAACAGCTTATTAAGGTGAAAATAGTGGGGCCTGTAGTCGAAGTTAAAAGCTGATAAATTGTCGCAAGTAAAATTGAGCAGTTTTGTTACTATATATATGGTTTAAATTAGAATGTTATACTCTTTCATATTTCTCTAACATGTACCTATGCTTATATAGGTTGACTCGGACATATATTTCATGAATTTTGTTCTAGACACGCCGTCAATTTAGCAATAGGTCAATGCATTATAATAGTATTTAAAAATTGTATTTAAAAAAAATTCCAGATCGAAAACGCAAGGCTTGCAAGAAGCAAAAGACAAATTGCAAGCCAAACTAATGGATCTCAAGAAGATAGTGGACGAAGCGAACAAAAACTACAAATTAGCTGAATCCGAATTGAAAATATATTTAAGCACAGAAGAGAAGGAGAATGAAAAGTTACAGAACATAAAGGATACATATGAAAAGGCAATCAAAGACGTAGAAGAGAAGCAAGTGTAAGTACTCTTTCTTTTTCTTTTCTTATAGAAGAGGGGGCAAAAGAGCATGCGGCTCACCTGATGCCGGCCTTTTAGAAAGGAGTAAGCTCTTTTCTTGAAGTTCCCTAAGTCGTATCTGTCCGGAAAAGTCTCCGGTGGTAAACAATTCCACAGAGAAGTTGTACGAGGAAAAAAACTCCTAGTAAAACGTACAGTAGTGGACCGCCAAGCATCCAGATGGTGAGGATGGTATCGGGAATTTTGACGCGATGTGCGTTCGTGAAATTTGGCGGCTGGAACTAATCCGAACAATTCCTCAGAACACTCTCCATAGTAGATACGATAGAAAACGCAAAGGGATGCAACATCCTACGCAGTGCCAGGAGAAAAAGCCGATTAGAAAGCACTCGGTCGTCGACGATTCGAATTGCTCTGCGCTGGATGCGGTCAAGTAGAAGGAGCTAGCACTGGGGTGCTCTGGCCCAGAGATGAGAACAGTATTCCATGTGAGGCTGAACTTGCGCTTTGTAAAGTTGCAAGCGATGTGCCGGCATGAAATACTGTCTGTTAGAGCACGCCAAGCTTTCTAGAGGCCAATTTGGCCTTCGCCTCCAAATGACCACAAAACTGCACACTATTCGATATTTCGACGCCTAGGATTCTGATGCTAGCTGAGGCAGCAAGGGGAGTCTTCAAACTGAGGAGACACAACAAAGGGCTTCTTTTTTCTCTTGTTACAATTTATATTATGGGATTAGTCTAAATATAATTGGTATAATTATACATAGCCTACCTATTTCTAGTAGGTAATTAATTATAATAATAAAGAAAAGTTACAATATTATAATAGTGAATCATCTTACGCCGTGTAGTAGCGATCCACTACTTCCAACACCTGTCACTACTTAAAATTACAAAATAATACAACTACTTTCAATTTGTTAGTTCAAATTATAATATCACTCATTTATTCATTATATCCTATCAACTTGACTGCCTCGTTGGTCTAGTGGTTGTACTAGTGCGACTGCTGATCATGAAGTCCTGGGTTCGAATCCCGGGTCGGGCCAAAAAATCAACTATCTTTTTTCCATCAATAAATTCTCAGTAGCTATCCGGAGTCAGGAAGTTGGCGGTGTCTCACCCCCGTGCCTCGGAAAGCACGTAAAGCAGTTGGTCCTGCGCCTGATCTCTCTCCGGTCGTGTCGGTTTACCGTCCCATCGGATTATGAGAGTGAGGGAATAGTGAGTGCACCTGTGCTTGCGCATACACTTGGGCACTATAATCCTGTCCTGCGCCGATGGCTAGTCTCCATTGAGGCAGGCCGCCGTGACCGAAATTCGGTCTGGAGGACATTATTATTATTATTATTATTATTTTGTATATATCTATATTCTCCCTTAAAGAGGTAACTTAAAACCTAATCACACGGGCCGAAGCCAAGCGTGAGCAGGTTCTAGGTGATGGTATTATTATTATTACTATTACTACAGCCATCAAAAATTCTACTGCTGAAATTGCTTCACATATTTATATACCACCACCACCACCATACCTCACATATTTGCCATAGTTACGCGGACTGGCAACCGCAGCTGTTTTCATTATTTTGAGCTATTATGAGGAAGATGTTACCACCCAAATCCTGTTTCATTACGCTCTGTCACCTTTTATGACACCCAAGAGATGACTTGAGTTAGTGATAGTGAAGATATTTTTACATTACTTCACTGTAACGCTAATAATAACAGAAAATATATTTTGTTTCAGTTTATTTGATGAACTATCTGTTTCCGTACCAACAAATGAGAAGCAGTTGAGCGACATACAAGCAAAATTGCAAGCATTGAAGAAAGAGGAATCATCTATTTCCAATGAAGCAAGATCTTTGAGGTAATAAGTCAGTGCTCAATTGAAAAACCAAAAAATAGTGTGAACTTTGCCTAATAGTGATGATCAAATAATTGCTTTTCCTATGTTCATCTAAATCTGAGATAGAAAACTGTTCACGAATTGAGGTCTCATTTATATCATACTCACATTGCAGTACTCAATGTACTCAATATATCAGAAGTTTCGTTGGAAGAAATACTTTTCTAAGTCAATGCTTTTGTAACCAAGAAATGTTTTAACTGAAAACCTGTCACTTGTAAGACACATAACGATTGACTTGACTAGGCTGGTCGGTGTGACCGAAATTAGGTCTGAAGGACATTATGACGACTTAAAATAAAAACAGCTTTAAGGCGATTTAATTGTCTGAACTAATATCTGATTTCATAAATGCATTTAAAAAAGTTGCTGTACAATGGTTAGTAAAGGAAATCTAAAAGTTTTTAAATATAGAAAAAAAAAACCTATCTGTTGCAGGGCACAGCTAGAAGAATCCAGGCAAGCAATGAGCGCGAATAAATCTCGCGGCAGAGTTTTGGATTCGCTAATGAGAGAAAAGAATAGTGGACGATTGCCGGGCATTTTCGGTAGACTTGTGAGTAGAGTCATATTTATTTTGTAGCATTCAATTTTTAAATACGTTATTGCCGTACGTCAATGAAGTTTAATAACAAAAATTATAACATAATCTTCTCAGGCTCGGGAATGCTTTACTGGGCTAACATTCCCAGGTTCCGAGCGAGAAATTAACGAATCTTTGATAGATATTTAAACTGGCTTTAGGCTGCCAATATGTGTTAGCCAAAAGCTTTGTATGTCCCTGATTTTCTAATATATTTTGATATTCAATAAAGCTGTAACGTTCTTAATTGAGAAATTATCGATACAGAAAAATACAGGAAAAACCAATTGTCAAATAAAACATTACATAATATTTGCAACTTTTTTTTATAGAATAGGGTGACAAACGAGTACACAGTCCATCTGATCGTAAGTGGTTGCTGTGGCCCATAGACATCTACATCTATCCTCGATTACGTATCAAAATGTAAATGCGTTGTCACCCGTGAGGACTAAGATGGAATGCCTCGTTTCCAGTAAAAATGATCTTAAACATGTTACATTAATTTAATTCATTTAATGATATTTATCTCATAGCATTATTATCTTAATAAAAACTCTGTCTCAGAGGCTTGTATGAGTAATTGTATATTGATTTTTTATCACGTTTTGATTTTTTATTTCTATTTTAACTTCTAGGGCGATTTGGGAGGTATAGATGCGAGATATGACGTAGCGATATCGACATGCTGTGGCGCGTTAGATAACATAGTGGTGGACACAGTGGAGACCGCTCAGAGCTGTGTTGAATATCTGAAACGGAACGATATAGGCAGAGCTACCTTTATAGCGTTAGACAAGCAGCAACACCTCGTGTCGCAATACGAGAGGCGGAGTACTTAGTAAGTTATTTCAGTTACTAAGTAAGTTATTCCATCGTAACCAGTGAATTTCGTAAACGGCGTCGACTTGTGGCTTACAATAGTCGCCGGTGTAACCATCTTCAATATGACAAGTATCCTTTCGACTTTTGCCAACGAGACCAACCAGTAGATCAACGAGGTAAGCAGATGTGGATATATTTAGTAAACAAATTAGTAATAAGTTGCTTCTGTTACACGTGTTACGCGATTCTTCTATAAATATGATCGCTTTTAGAAAAATCCGGCTCAAAGGACCATATCTCTAAATCTTGAAGGTTTATAAATTTAGTTATGGTGAAGCAATATAAAAATGATGTAGTTACATTGGTGTTATTGAAAAGTATTATATATGATAGTGTAAACGAACGTAAGTGCAAACCTAGGGGGACCTAAATTTGGCAGTAGTGGCACAGATACGATTACTATTTCATCATAACCAGACTACCACCCATTTGTATTTTTGAACAAAGATTGGCTCCAACTTGGATGTGTGTCATGGTAGATATTTTGAATCTGAGATCCAAGTCATTAAAAAAAACCCAGTAAAACTACTTGCACTACATAAATATGCACTGATTTGCTGCACACTTTAGTATTAAGTAGTTAAGTAAGTTATCAATACTATTTTCTAAAGAGTATTTCTTTGCTTTTACTAGCTACCATTAAAAATAATATACATCAACATAAGTAGGATTGCGAGATTACTATTTAATAGGTATTTTAATGTATTTTGATTGTTATCTGTTTTGGATTTTCAAATTTCGGAACCGTTACGCAACGCCTTCGAAAAAATAAGTTATTAAGTAATTAATTATCGTTACTTTTCCAGTCCAGAGAACGCACCCCGCCTCTTCGACTTGGTAAAAGTCAAAGACGATAGAGTGCTGCCAGCTTTCTACTACGCTCTTCGCGATACTCTAGTGGCTAAGGATTTGGAGCAGGCTTCTCGCATCGCATACGGACACACGAGATACAGGGTGGTAACACTGAATGGTGACGTCATAGAAATTGCCGGTAAGTAAGGAAGGATATTAAATAAGTGAGTGCATGTCACCTTTACGCGCATTAATTTTTGTATCTGTTATGTATCTTTTAGCTATGGAGAGGACTATGCTCGGAGATTCTCTGCGTGATATACTTAGAAATGAGGATATCCGCAGTGGAACCAGAGTGACCGACATAGCCCAACGGATTAGTAAGCTGAAGCGGCAATGGGCCGGCCATATAGCTCGAAGAACCGACAACCGTTGGGGAAAAAAGGTTCTCGAGTGGCAGCCTCGTACCGGTAGGCGTGTAGGGCGACCTTCCACTAGATGGAGTGACGACCTGGTAAGACATGCAGGAAGTCGATGGATGCAGGTGGCTCAGGACCGTGCTTTGTGGCATTACTTGGGGGAGGCCTATGTTCAGCAGTGGACTTGTGAAGGGCTGTAATGATGATGATGATGATGTATCTTTCTAGCTTTTTTCTTTCCACTACGTCTAAGAACTGTCTTTTTTTTTAATAAAAATGAACACGATAACAAATCAATCCGGCTGTGTTTCTTTGTATCATCTAAGACATGATGTCTTCGTCAACTGGTTTGAAATTAGCAGTAAAAGTGGCGCCCCAAAGAGTGCAACATTAGGGGATGAAGTTTTAATGTAGATTAGACAAAATTCTATTAAAAAAATCTAGTTGTTATCTTTAGCTTGTTATATTCCTTAGTCCACTCAAAAGGGTCCAAAAAATTAAACTTTAAAGGCGTTTCTTTAATTCTTCTATTGACTATATCTTAGCACCGACTTATGAAGCTTTTGTGGGAATTATGTTATTCTTTTTAGTTTTTTAATGTCGGCTTATATATTCATACAACCAGAATTTTATTTTATAGAATAAGTGTGACAAACGAGCACACAGTCCACCTGATGTAAGTGGATGCTGTGGCCCATAAACATCTATATTTATCCTTGATTAAGAATCAAAACGCAGATGCATTGTCACCCTTGAGGACTAAGATGGAATGACTCGTTTCCAATCAAAAAGAGTCTCCGGATGTCTACACTCACTATACGAAATACAGCAGTATTAAAATGCTATTTTGGGTTGGGTATTCTGTAAGATCGTGATCCTTCCCCGGTCAAGCGAAACCATTTATGCTTCAACCATAATATAGCTGCAGTGTGGCTCTACCATGAATAAAAATATTTCTAGCCGCTAGGCATGTTCTCTTCTTTGCTTCAACTTCCATTCGTACTTCATTATACCTCCGCCGAAAAAATAATTCATTCGGTAACCGTAAATGTCATGGAAGCGCTAGATGAAAAGATGAAAGCAATTACCGAGGAAAACAATATCCTCAAAGAAAGAGTATCAGAACTGGAACAAAAACTTAAAGCAGTAGATAGAGAAAAACGTAAACACAACCTAGTGTTTTTCGGCTTGGAAGAGACGGGAAAATCTGAAGGGGAGCTACTAGAGACTACATTAAAGAACTATATCAGATACGGGAGTTTACTTGGACAGTCACGAAATTAACAGCGCGTACAGAATCGGGAAAAACAGCGAAAACAATAGCCGCCCAGTGGTAGCCTCTTTCACAACCCTGTGGAAAAAACATCTTATACTCAAACACAAGACAACCCTGCCGCCAGGTATTAGTGTGAAAGAAGACTACTCCAAGGAAACCCTGGAAAAACGAAAACAGCTACAACCTCAACTAGAAGAAGAAAGAAAGAAGGGAAACATCGCTTACATAAAGTATGACAAATTGATAGTGTTAAAACCAAAGAACAACAATAGAGAAAAGCGGAAAAGGGATACTTCGGTGTCTCCTAAATCATCAGCACCGAAAAAAAAAAACACCAAACCGTGAGCGATCATCCACAATTCTTATCCAAAACTAACAGGAAAGATATAATTAAACCCAGCATACTGAACCATAATAATCGAGCAAGTTCTGACCCACAAGTAAACATTCCAAAAAACTTATAATCGCCCCGGAAAATAGGAAACAAACATTACCTATACTGACCTTATTTAACAACACAAAACAAATAACAAAAAACTTCCCACAACGGCTGGTCCCCGCGGGAAGTACTGACCACTACCCTCTAACAACAAGAAGACAAACAACACTCAATATTGCAACTTTAAATACAAGAACCCTTAGAACTGAAGAAAGCCTACATGAACTAGAAAAAGCTCTCGAAGACATAAACTGAGACATTTTGGGAATTAGTGAGATGCGACGATTGGGAGAAAAGATCGAAGAGCGAACCGATTACATACTATTCCAAAAAGGTGAAGTACCTGGACATAGAGGAGTCGGATTCATAATCAAACAGTCATTGAAACAACAAATACAAGAGCTAATTGGTCTCTCTGATCGTATAGCCATTCTCAATATTGTCATACCGGGATATAAAAAATTATGGACAATTATACAAATCTATTCTCCAAACAGACACTCAACTTTTTTACAATGAACTATCAAAAACAATAACAAGATATTCCGACAACCACATATTTTAATGGGCGACTTTAATGCTCAAGCTTGGAGCAAAGCAATGTAAGGAAGAATATGTCTTGGGAAACTATGGTCAAGGAAAGAGAAGTGCACACGGGGAAGTGTTCGTGGAATTCTTAATGCAACATAACCTAATGCTCTTAAATAGTATGTACATAAAAAGTCAAAAGAATAAGTGAGACATGGATTTCTCCTGATGGCCGCACTAAAAACGAAATTGACTACATAACAACGAATTATCCAAAAGCATTCACAGATACGTCGGTCATAGCAAAATTTAATTTCAACACAAACCACCGTATGGTAAGAAGCAACATAAAGATAGAACCGCCAAAGAAATCTAGAAAATACTTTACTCCATGCAACATAAAACACCATAGCATAGAAACTATAAAGAAAATAAAACAATCTCTTATTGAATCAGCTGATGAATTTACCATGAGAAACACTGATACTCATATGAAATATGATAAACTAGTAAAATTACTAACTAAAGTCAAAGCCGATCATAACAGGAAAAGCAAATACAAACTTAGTCACACAACCATACAACTCATAGAAAGAAGGAAAACCCTATTATCAAAACACACTAGAAAAGACAACTTAAAAACTATAACGAAATTAAGCAAAGAAATTAGTGCGAACATCAGAAAGTATAGAAAGACAATTGACGGCCTGGCCACGGGGAACGGCGGCGCGAACGGCGAAGCGACAGGCTGGGCGAAAATTAACGAAGAGAAAGAGGAGAGAAAAAGGAGAAGACCGACTCCGTGGCTTGCACCGTACTGATGCATACATTTGTTTCATTCGTCCGCCGCGCCGCCAGTAGCCCGCGCGATTCGCCCGGTAAATTTCGCCGGTCGCGTCGCCACTCGCCGCTACGCGTGGCTTGCTCCATACATTTCTATACATTTGTTTTAGTCGCTAGACGCCTCGCCGTTCGCGCTGCGCGAATTTTCGCTACGGCGAATGTCCCGTGGCCAGGCTGTGAGGCTGCAAACATTAGAAAGGCATATAGCAGACAGGAGGAGTAAAAAAAGCACTAAAGGAACTGAGGGAAACAAACAAAGAATGGATACCCAAACTAAACAAAAAGAACTGTACCTAATTTAACAGAAAAAACATAAATGAAATAGCCACAAAGTTTTACCAAGACCAAAGTTTTACAAACAAGAACACTACCCGAGGAATGACACCAAAAGAGAACCAGAAACTGAACCAGAAATACTTCACAAAGAAATCGAAGCATCGAGACTCAGAGCATCTTCCGCAAACTAGATTGGAAAGAATACGGCCTCAACGTGCTAGGTGAAAAACTAAACCACCTAAGATTCACAGATGATATAGTCTTATTTGAGGAAAACCCAATGCATCTAAGTAAAATGATAGAAACTCTCAACGAAGAAAGTAAGAAAGTAGGCCTATGCATAAACAAAGATAAAACAAAAATGCTCACAAACTCCGAAACAGTAGTAATTAAAGTTGACAACCAACCTCTCGAATATGTGACAGATTACATCTACTTAGGACAAGTCATATCTCACAAAGATCAAACTACCAAAGAAATTGAATACGAAACGGATGGAAAAAATACTGGTCCCTCAAAGAAGTCTAATCCAAGGAACTAAGTATGCAAATAAAAAGAAAAGTCTTCAACACATGTATACTTCCAGTCATCACTTACGGATGTGAAACCTGGGCACTCACCAAACACCATAGGGAAAAGCTGGAACGCTGCCAAAGAGCCATGGAAAGAAGCTTGATAGGAATAAAGAAACAGGACAGAGTGAGATGTTGCTAATAAGAGAAAATACCAAAGTTGCTAATATATTAACGCGAATAGACCAACAAAAATGGAGATGGACGGGTCACATGATACGAGATCCACAAGAGAAATGGTGTAAAACGTACCAATCTGTGACGATTGGTACCCTAGCGATGGCAAGAGAGGTAGAGGACGCCAACAGACAAGATGGGATGACGACCTAAAACTCACGGCGGGACATCACTGGAGAAGGGTAGCACGGGACAGGTCCCAGTGGAAAATGTTAGAGGAGGCCTATGCCAAGAGGCAAACTGAACTTCGGGACTATTTATAAAAAAAAAAGAAATACATTTATTTTTATATTTATGTTCAGATTACAATTATTATTATACCTCCGCTCTCTGACTTCGCACGGCTGATTTCTCGATCTTGACAACAGCGCTCCCTGACGGATTCAATTGTGAATCTAATTCTCGAATTAACTTAATCACACACACAATATTTCATCAAAATTGGTCCAGCCGTTTAGAGGGAGTTTAGTCTCATATAAACACGGATAGAAAAATTATATATTATTTTCATTCTTGTCATACTTTCAGGTACAATGTCCGGTGGTGGAAAATCGACTATGCGTGGCCGCATGGCAAGTTCTGTTCAACAAGACACGAGCGAACAAGACCCTCGAGTGATCCAGCAGAGCGAGAGAAAACTTGCGGCTTTGGAGGAGAGGTAAGTTAGCTAACATAGTGCCACTGTGAGCATAGCTTTTACTTAATTTTGGGAATATTGTATTCACTGTGAAAAGCATAGCAGAATTGTATGAAAAAATCTATAGTTAATGGTTATTTATTGTTTCTTTATTAATTTTATTATTCATTAATTTATTACACGTGGTAGAACCATGCTGTAGTTATATTAGTAGTATAGTTGTAGCACGAATGGGTCGGCTCGACCGGGGACCACACTCTCACAGAATAGAGAGAGACGTAACACGTCTGACAGAATAGGCAGAGGGTAACGTTTTTTATAAATTGAAAAAAAAAGTATGGCTGAATATATATGCCTCCCCAATCCCCGATAGATCGCCTCATAGGGGGATATTTTTATTGTTATGGCCTTCGCAGACTTGCGGACGGGACGGCAGGTAATTTAAAATGTATCAATATGAATTTAATACTTATAATAATGTCCTCCAAACCGATTTCGGTCACGGCGGCCTGCCTCAACGGAGGCTAGCCATCGGCGCAGGACAGGATTATAGTGCCCAAGTGTATGCGCAAGCACAAGTGCACTCTCTATTCCCTCACTCTCATAATCCGATGGGACGGTAAATCGACACGACCGGAGAGAGATCAGGCGCAGGACCAACTGCTTTACGTGCTTTCCGAGGCACGGGGGTGAGACACCGCCCTCTTCCTGACTTCGGGCAGCTACTGAGAATTTCTTGACAGAAAAACAATAATTAATTTTTTGGCCCGACCCGGGATTCGAATCACTATCGAAAACTCAGGATCTCATGATCAGCAGTCGTACTACTACAACCACTAGACCAACGAGGCAGTACAATTTTATACTATACTTATAGACAGTAGAATTTAATACTTATCAAAATTAGATATATATTTCAATGCTCGGTGATCGACCTCGGAGTAACGCAGTTTTCTCTGGAGCATCGAAGAGCACGCTGAAGGATACCGTGGCGGAAGTATGCGTCGGTGTACGTAGTAATTCTTCTATTATTATTAATAAGTGCATGTTCTTCTTTCGCGAAAATTGATAATAACCACCCACCATTATGAAAATAAACTTACTGCAAACTCTTTCATAAGCAACTTTTCGACTGCGTAGTCGTTAGTGGAATAATCAAATCCCGGCGAACGGTGACTACTCGGTGGACGCCGCAGCATACCGGCGGATGCTCCGGTAAGCTACAGTAAAGTTCGAAGAGACGGTAGCCTAATGGCAGGGCGCGGACCGCGAACTCAAAAAGTCGTGGGTTCGAATCCGCCATTCGACTACTGGCGTGAACCGCTCTAAACAGCAATTTAAGCTTACCACAGTGGGGGAATATTAGTAATGTTTATAGCATTATTAATATTCTTTTTAAAAAGCTGGTGGATGCTCGCGATATCGCATCTATAATCTAAAATTTTCTCAGGTTGAGGCAGCTTCGAAGCGAGCAAGTAACTCTCGAGGATACAATGGTCTCCCTGCAAAAAAGCACAAGAGAAGGCAAAACAACATTACACAAACTTAATATTGAGTTAACGAGCTTGACTGAGCAAGTTCCTGTATTAAAGGTAATTTAATATTTTTCATTAGAACAATTCTGTATACTCCATATAGACTCAAAGCCGATTGCAGTGTTTTGAGCAGGCTTCAAAAAGAACTAAGTTCTCAATTTAACTTTGTTTTTGGTATAGAATAGTCCACCTGATTGTTAATGGATGCTGTGGATCATAGAAATCTACATTTATCTTCAATTAAGAAATGCAGATGCGTTGCCGGCCCTGAGGACTGAGATTGAATGCCTCATTTCCAATAGAAAGGGTCTCCGGTTCTCTACACTCACCATACAAAACACAGCAGTATTAAGCTGCTATTTTATGCTGGTATTCTGTGAGAGCGTGGTCCTTTCCCGGTCGGGTCGACTCATTCGTGCTACAAATATACTACTAATATAACTGCAGCACGGCTCTACCACGTATAAAAATACCTATAATTATAAAATACCTGTGGTACTGGGATCATCAATTGTCTGCTCAGTGTCGTGTCGACTAAGGCAAATCCTTCTTACAATCAGGGAGGTTCATTTCTAGCAGACATTTTGACGTGAATATATCTTTAAATTTGTTTTCATAGCAGGGACAATTCAGAAAACTGATGGTAAAAAATACAATAGAATGGGTATTGCAGCTACATATCTATCATCTACACCCAAAATTTAATTACGCCACTCGATAACTAAAGGATCAAAGAACTCGTTACGTTGAGTGAGGACCGTGACGTACACGCGTGGTGGAGGGAGGAGCGCCGCCATTTTGAGGTCGTTTCGTTACGTACACGTATTCACGTAAAACACAAATATTCCGTGTTTACGACACATCCACACTCTGATTTTTTTTAATGTAATTAAATAGTCCTTACTAAGACGGATGCTTAGGCCAAAAATACTATTTAGTAAGATGACTCTAAATGAAATGTAAACGTACGAGAGCTTCGCTATTCTCCAATTAATTTCTGGTTTCCTAGTAATCATTATAACTTTGCAGAATCAAATAAAACAACAAGAGAGCAAGGCCGCTGCGAGCAAAGTTGATGCCAAACAAAAAGCAAAACTTGAAGCTGTTCTTAAAGAGACAGAGAAGAAACTCGAGAAGGCAAAGTTTGATGCTGGTGAAGTTAGTATTAATTTTTTTAGCATTTTTCTATTTTATAGAGAATTATATAATATTTCGTATAAATGAGTTAGCAAGGGACGCCCTAAAAGACGGGCCAAATTAAAAGTACCCTTAACCGTGGTACATGCGTAGACTTATTAATGTCAAAGGAGCACGTCTGTCGTGGTCTGTCTACCCCTCTAGGTGATGAAAGGCGTGATAATTTACGTATGTATATATTTCAAGTTATATAACGGTCATCTTTTCCGATTTCTACTCACTACTCGTTAGTTTAAATAACCATTATACAAATTATTATATACGGGATTTTTCTTTTGTATGCAATAATATTGTAAATATATATATATATATATATATATATAAATTTGTGGCAAAAAATGCAACTTCTACATTATTTTCAGATATTTTCACATTATTACAAAATTTTCTTACTTCTTACAAAATTTAAATTAACCTGTTAATATAACGTTAAAACGATATATAGTTATTAACTGGTTTTCGCTATTAGTACTGTGTATGTTGACGGTACGGGCTCGATGAGCCGCCATTTCTAATCCCATTCTTTATCCGTACGGACTCTTACTTGTTCATTTTTTTGTTAATTTTTTTACCTTTACTAGGTGGAGAAAGAAGTGCATGGCGTAGATGCCCAAATTGCGGCAATAGCTGGAAGTAAAGTGCGGGATCTTCAGAAGAACGTAGACGACTTAACCAAAAAAATCGATAAAGTTTCCACTGAGATAACTAAACTGAAAGTCGCTATAAACACTAGCATAAGGTTGCAATTTCTTCAAATATTTTTATGTATAAGATTATGATATTTCGGAGGATTTACCGTGACGTGACGTTATGCAGGAGATGACATATATTTTTCTTATATAATAATTGTAACAAATGTGTGGTTTACCTAATAGTAAGTGGATGCTGTGGCCCATAGACATCTATTTTCTATTAATTAGAATGTTGTATAGAAATAAATTTTAAAATGGTAGAATGTACGTATCTTTCATGTACCTACATTCAATGCAAATAAATAAATACTCTATTTTATTCTTTTGAATATTAAAAATGTAGTAACAAATATTAAAACTTTCTATTTGTTTGTCATGTGGTCATAAAAGAATCACAACCACAACATAAGAGAATCACCCCATATCACCCCATGGGTGTCGTAAGAGGCGACAATTGGAAACACCAGAGAAATCTTATGACTATCGATAGATGCCGGTATGCCATCTCATTTATGTCAGATATAAAATACTCAGACCGACGACGGGTAGGAGTGTCAAAAAGGCTCAAGTCTGGTACTGCGTTCGTTAATCCACTTGCCAAGCTTGAAAATTAAGCCAAATCCTTACAATCGTACCATGGTACAATGGTACCGTGTAGTGACGGTGTAAGAATATTCAATACCTCATATCATCCCATAAGTGTTGAAAGAGGTGACAGAGGGAAATAAATCAAGAGATCGGCAACAGCGTCTTCCTAATAACGACTAAAAATAAACAAAACTGCGGTTACCAACCAACCCGCTTGCCAAGCTTGGCAGCTTTTTTTATAGGATAGGGTGACAAACGAGCACACAGTCCACCTGATGGTAAGTGGTTGCTGCGGCCCATAGACATCTACATCTATCCTCCATTACAAATCAAAATGCAGATGCGTTGTCACCCGTGAGGACTGAGATGGAATGCCTTATTTCCAGTAAAAAGGGTCTCCGGTTCTTTACTCTCACCATATGAAACACAGCTGCATTAAGCAACTATTTTTCTATGGCAAATATCCCTCTTACGAGGCAGTCTAAGGGGGAGGGCTATGTTCAGCAGTTGACTTTAATAGGCTGTAATGGTAACAATGGGAAACGACCAATTTGTTGGCTAGACGTGGACCTCTCCTGTTAACTTTTACAAGCTGATGTATGCGTTGAAGCACAAAATTCTTCATTATTATTATCCACAAGTCCATTACTGAACATAGGCGTCCGCCAAGAAATATCATAAAACATGGTTCTGAGCCATCTGTATTCATCGACAACTTGCATTTCTTACTAGGTGATCACTCCATCTGTTGGGGAGCCGACGAACTCGAGAATCTCTCATCCCCATTCGTTGACGGTTCTTTGAGCTACATGGCCGGCCCATTGCCACTGCTTGTGCCATGTTGTTTACTTTGGTTCTACTTTGGATAATTCAGAATTCTATCACGCAGAGGCACTCCAAGCTTGTTAAGCGACCTGTCTTATATGACCAGTAATGAACACCCAAGAGTCAGATCCATTTGTCATTACTCTACAAAATGCACTGGTTGTGCACATAATTCTTAATTATCGTGAACTAAGCTCAAATCACGAGCTCCTTTTTTTTCTTTACAATTGTTATAATGTATTTTATTATTTTTTTAGAAACGCCAAGAAATCTAAGGACAAAATCAACCAAATGGAAACAGATTTGAAAGAGACAGAAAATAATTTGGAGAATTTAAACAGTCAAAAGAAACAGCTCTCTCTGGATAGCGCACAGTTACAAAAGGATTTCGATGAGGTATACTTTAATGTTTCGATATATTTTTTTTTGCGTGGAGCTATGTAGGTCTTGCTTGAGCAATATCACTGCGACCAGTATGATTTATTGTGAGTATTGACACAAAGCCCTACCAACTTCAATGAATTGCAGGAGTTACTTAGCTGTGAGCATTTTCACTTTATGCTATATTTCATAATAAACACCTGTATTCAGTTCGATTGTGCAAACTTTAATAAATTAATTTGGCATTAAAATAGTTGATTATCTATTATTAGTTGATACTTAATTTAAGTAAGCGATAAGAAACTATAGATAATTATCTCTGTACCTGTTTCTTTTTATTGTCATCTATAGTCAACCAAATCTAAGAAATACCTTTTGACGTTTCACATTAATCATTCCGCCATAACTTTGCATAAGACTCACAATTATTTAAAATAACATTTTACGCAAATCCAAAGAATTATGAAGTTATCTATATTTCATTACAACGTGTGTAGGTTTTTATCACTAATTTAAATTTGAATCTTTCAGACAAAGCAATATATTATTAAAAAAATTTTATTTAAAATTCATTGTTATGCGAACAATCGGCAAAAATATTCAAATAATCGGTAAAAATATTTAAATAATCGAATCATTAATTTTTTTAATGTATTTTTTTTAATTTAATTTTTTCTTTTAAAATTCCTTAAATTACATGATTCATGAATAAAACAAGTTTTTTTTTTAAATTTGTCAACGTAAATTTTGTGTAGGCAAAAAAACTCATATATAGGGCCGCGCTGAAAAATCCATTACGTAATTTCAATATCCCTCCATTACGCAAGCTTACTGTGCGTAATTTTGTGTTTGTCTTCTTAATTTGTCACACTTTTTGGACGGTTTATTCTATATGTATAGAGAATTTTTTTACAGAAGAGGGTCATTAGAGCTATTTACAATCTTAAACCGAGAGAGTATCTTAAAGAAAAATTTAAAGATATAAATATATTAACTTTGGCCTCAGTATATCTATCAAAATTTGATGTATGTTCACAAAAATAAAGGTAGTTTTAGTAAAAAAAAAGTGATATACACTCTGTTAACACTAGGAACTAACACAAGCTGGTGCTACCAGTTTCTCGACTCCACAGAGTCAGTAATTCATTCTTGGGGCAATGTATACGCTATTACAACAAAGTCCCATAAAATATACAAGGTCTCTCTATTACCAAGTTTAAATATTCAATTAAACAAAAACTGTATAAAAAGGGTTATTATTTATTATTTAATTATTGTTTATGGTCCGATCTATGCAAAATGAACTGACTATGTCTTGAGGTCTTGCAGTGGTATGCTTGGATTTAGTTTTAATTTTATCGATTATAGGGTCCCAAGCAGGTGTTTCATAGTTTGTAGTACCCAGCCTCCTTCTCTATTAAAATTGGGGTGTTTTTTTAATTTCATTAGCCTCACGTATCATCCTTGGTAGGAACCGGTGTTCTTTCGCGAGGATTTGTGGTTTATCAAATCTTATGTAATGGTTGGGGCCGTCTAGGATATGATTACAAACTGCAGCTTCCCGGAACGTTGAACGAACGGGAACATCGGTTCCTACCAAGGATGATACGTGAGGCTATTAAAATTAAAAAAAACATCCTAATTTCAACAGAGAAGGAGGCTAGGTACTACCACCTGCTTGGGACCCTATAATCGATAAAATTAAAACTAAACCCAAGCATACCACTCCAAGAACTCAGGACATAGTCAGTTCATTTTGCGTAGATCGGACCATAAACAATAATTTAAAAAAAAAGCTGAAGGTACTCCGGGTTTAACAAAGACATCGGGACGTCAGTCACCTCAGTCCTCCGTGACCATGGGTGCTGGAAAGCACCCGAAACGTCGGGAATTAAAAATAATTAAAATTAAAATTAAACGCGATAAAATCTGTAAAAGTACCGCGTAAAGGTAAGAAATCATTAAGGGACATTAATTTTGACTGCATTCTTGAAAATCAAATAATATTTAATCTAAACAACGACAGCTAAATTAGTTTTTTCTAACCCGGTTTTAATCTTAAATTTTTATAACTCTGCCTCTAGAAATAAGCAGTAACAACAAATACGTAGAAACTGATAAATATTGGGTTTTAAATTTATTTTGGTATTATTCAAACCGAACTGTAAATGATTACCAACTCTAAATAGTCGATATCGATTTTTTTTAAGAATCGAATATTGTGCGTTCCCATTTTTTGGTTGGCATGCCTGGTGCAATAAGTCTGACAGCTGTCAAAATGTATTTCTTAGATTTGGTTGACTATAGTAATGTGAGAGGGACATAGTAATTAAACATTTCTTAAATTAACGTCGATTTTATAAATAAAAATGTTCGTTTTCAAGTCCTTTAGTTGAAAAGGAAGGTTTTTAAAGGCCATTTTTGACCGTTATGCACGTTTTTTTTGTTCACTCGTAAATTACGACTCGTAATTCCCAAAATGTTCGTCGAATTTCGACAAATGATACCTCAATCGATCTGTAAAAAGAAAAAAGAAAAAAAGAATAAAATAAATATGGCGAACATAAACTGTCAAAACATGCGATTTAATTAAAAGCTAATTTTTTTTCTCTTTATTAGGAATAGCAAACAACTACATAGTATAATCTTACACAAAATAATGTTAGCTAATGTAAAAATAAAAATAAATATGTAGGTATCGGACGCGATCAGATGCTAAGCAACAACAGCTGATATTGAGAAAGTAGTTAGGTACAGTCACCAACAATAAGATGTAAGCACCTGCGTTTACCATTATTAAAGTAATAATAAAGTTTGTACTTAATTAAAGTGTACACATGCCATTGTCAGCGACTGCACGTAATACAAAATTAATCATTAACAGAACATAATTACAATTAACATATTTATAAAGATGACCTAGGAGAGATTGTTGTTAAGAACTGCGCAACTGCACAACGCACAACATTTTATTCCATACATTATCTATGGTATAAGTGATGTGTAATAAAAAAGTATCCATCTAAATCTAAATAGCGACATAACGTAAAAAAGAGTTAAAAAAATGGTTAAAAAAACTCACTAAAAAGTGTATTACAGATGTAACGCTTGAATTGTAACTCAGAAAGATGGAATATGTCAGAGTCAACAAAGTTATCATTATAGATATCGATCATTTGACGCAGAGGTGAGCGGATACCCGCTTTGGTACGACATTTGGCAGTTGCGAACAGTTTACGAACGCGCACCTCCCGCCTATGAACCGTTCTTGGGACAATATAACATAATCTGTTGGTCAAGTCAGTACAATCAAATTTATTATTAATGATACCATGAAGTATCATACATACAAGGAGTTTACGCCTAAACTGAAGAGAATGCAGTTTATACCTATTCAACAACTGATCATATGACATAAATGTGCCATAACATCTGTAGTGCATGGATCGCAGATATTTACGCTGAACATTTTCAATTAAGTCTACATACTTATTGTACAGAGGGTTCCATATTGGTACGGCAAACTCAAGTTGGGAGCGTACCAAAGCCTTATAAAGATAAAGATATGTACAGGGTTTCTTAAAGTTCTTACATGACCTCATCACAAAACCATACATTTGAAAGGCTTTTTTAACAATTTTGTCAATATGGAGATCAAAATGCAACTTATTATCCAATATGATACCTAAATCACGCAAAGATGTGACTTTGTTTAATAAGACATTACAAAGAGAATAGCTATAATATACAATTTGATGTTTTTTTGAAAAAATTATATAACTACATTTGGAAAGGCTTAAATGCAGTTTATTGTCATTGCAGTATTCAGAAAGTCTGTTCAAATCCTGTTGTATTAGAAAGCAATCAGAGATAGATGTTATAGATTTATAAATTTTTAAGTCGTCTGCATACAACAAGAAGTTACAATTGTGAAAACACTGTCCTATATCATTAATAAAAATGATAAATAAAAGCGGACCAAGGATGGATCCTTGTGGCACGCCTGAAGTCACATGAATACTCTGAGATTGAAACCCATTGATAACTACTTTTTGGCTTCTGTTCATAATGTATGACGAAAACCAGCGTAACAGATTACCCCGTATGCCATTATAGGCAATTTTCTTTAAAAACAGTTCATGGTCTACCTTGTCGAAGGCTTTTCGAAAGTCGGTATATATAGCATCCGTTTGAGCATTATTGTCCATATTATCAAAAAGAAAGGATACATAGATCATGAGATTAGTGATAGTGGATCTTCCCTTTACGAAGCCATGTTGTTCTTTCAAAATGCTATCATGTATAACTGGATAAACTTCGTTATGAACCAGTCTTTCGAAAAGCTTCGACAAGGCAGACAGAATAGAGATTGGTCTGTAATTATCCACCTCATGCCTTGAGCCGTTTTTATGTAAATAATACTAATAAGCAAATATATCGTGTGTGTTATCATACAAGAGTTATGAGTACATTCCAAATATACAGGTTGTTCGGTAACCTTATCCCCGCCTAAAAAAAGGTACTAGTTTTGAGAAAAAAACACTAACTTCTTTTTTACTTTATTTTAAATTCATCTTCTCCACGACTAAAATATGAATGAATTCGAAAATGTACAAACATCTAAGTAACCAATTTAATTTTAAAAGAATGTGCGTTTAGTGTAGCTTTTAAAAGGGTTATTAAGACGGCTTCTAATTAAATTAAAATGACATGGAGTATAATTAATAGTTAAACTGGTAAGGTCGACTCTCGGAATTCAAACTACTAGTTAAGTTTTAACAACAAATTAACTGCATGAGATCAGAACATTGCATCTTAACCACTAAGTCACTGAATTCTTCTCCTGCCGTCGCCGAATCATTACTTATTCAAAATGTAAATGTCTAAACAAAGAATTACACATTTCATAAAGTTTCATCAAAAGATATTGTAATATATTTTTTCTATGTGGGTAGTTCTGATTGCAACACGTGAAACTGTAATCTCTCAAGTTATAATTAAAATGAATACATAAT